TGCGTTTAATATTAATTAAGGTCTAAAAAGCCATACGCTGCATTTCACGCGTATAGACACGATTCTCGCGATAATGTGCTATCATGTCATAGAACAATTCATTCTTCTTATCATTATGCATGCGGTATAGAAACTCACTGCATGTTTATCAACTTTGCATGTTCTTTTGTACTTATATCTGCATGCGTCACACAATTTCAATATTATAAGGAAAAAAAAAAAAAAGAAAAGAGATATTAGACAAATACAAAAGTGTCTCGTAAAGTTCAATCTAAACAAATTTAGATTTTCAGATGCCTAGAATTGTTTTTAAAATATCATAAAATTTTTCTTTAATCAAGAATGACTTTAATTAATTAATTTGTTTGATTATTTTCTATTTGTAATCCGTACGCATTATATTCGTTCGCGATTAGTATAATATTAATATTATAAAGAGAAGTGGAGGAGTTTCTTTCCCTTTCATAAAAGAGCAGTTTTCAGATTATTAAATTCTAAACTTATCCTCAAGATCCATAATAATCCTCCGTTTTTTATTTTATTTCGCATTAACTTAATTGCTTCTTCTGCCAATCCCTCGCGTCAACTATCATGGATACCATTATTCACAAATAAGAACTATTAGCGCAATAACATTTTTTTTTTTTAAAAGGGAAAGATGCGAACAAACAGTATTAAATCTAAGTGGGTGACGCTGCGACAACAGATTAATGGAAACGTGTCGTCGACGTGCAGCAGCTTATCATTGTCGGAGATTATATAGATATCATTCTTTCGTGATATACTTAATGCGTGTTTTTTTATTTTTTTTTTGGAAGGGGCGGACCAGCGTATATATCTGCTCTTCTTCGGTGAATTCTCTCAATTAAATCATTAGAAATATTGTCGTTAGGACGTTATACATTGCTATTTTTGTGACGTATTTATCAAACCGCTTAGCTTTCTCCCTTATCTATCGCCGTTCGCCGTGCTCTGATTCGCTCACGCGCTTAACTATCCAGGTCGCGGTGTTTCGAGTCGCTCGCATATCTTTATCGTGTTGATCGAACACGAGAGGAGCGTTACGAACGCCGACGAATAGCGTAATCGATCATCTCGAGCATCGGTAAATTGAAAAAGCATAATTAACATAGCGCTATCATGGAACGGTGCTTATTCGTAAAGGGGAAAGAATGACACCGCGCGGTGGGACATCTCGCTCTGAGAATATAAGCGTTAAAAAAATATATTATTGTCAAAAACCACGACTATCTCTTCGCTTGTATGCGTTCAAGCGTCTCCGTGATGCAAGTTTAGTGCGCTTTATGGTGTGTATATATCGCGCCAACGCGCGTCGTGAACGAATTCGACGTTGGTTACATAGGTACTGTTTTTCTGTATCCCCTTTAGCGTAATTGTTAAACTATAATGCACCATTGGGAGAAGACTGCCATACAAGTAAAATAATTTCAAAGCTTTCGGAAGCGGTGCCATAATTCGTCAAACTGATAGATATATGTTAGGAATTATTAAACATAATATCGAATTTTCTTTATTAATGTTATTAATTTACCCTCTATATAGTTAATTAAAACTTTATTTGCAAATAAAGTTAATGTATTTCAAGTATCGAAAAAAAAATGAGCGTCTTTATCGATCAGGCATCATGGCAGTATTCTATCGGAGGTGCGATACGAGCTGAAAATAATATAAGTCAAATTCTAAAGAGATTTTAAGACAGGTACATTATGTCGATTCGTTATTCATTGAACCTATGTATATCTCTTATCTAAACGGATCGTACTTCAAAATTTGACTTGGACTATTTTCGCAGTACGACTGTCCACACTCTGGTTTTATTCGAAAAATCAATTCGCTCTATCAAAGATCACAGCTTTCGCCTGCGAAAGTAATGTGCGATGCGTTGATCGTGCGTTACGCGTCTTATGTACAAGTAATTATTTAACGGACCGTCAGGGGCATTCTCGCGACGATTCTGAACTCTCATCGCTATTGTGCCATTCCATTCGAGATGAAATCCGGATTCAGAAATCTGATAAGCTCGTCGTCAATTGTCGATTAATCAAATTAGAGAGCAACAGAATTATTGTCTATCTCTGTGCACCTGAAAATTACCGTTTCGTCCGACGAGCGTTTCAAGCTTCAACTGTCTCCCACATTTCGCTCATACTTGGAAAGAAAAGTGATCGAGTTGCTCGGATCTCGAAACACGCGCGATTTCACCCAATATCGTACGTAAAAGACCTCTCTACCTCTCATTTTTTTTTCATTTTATATCTTTTATAGCGCATACACGTACAGTCAATCGGGATAAATGGTTTTTCAACAACTTTACGACGCGGCATTCAAATTCAAATGGTTCGAAAAATGACAAATGTAAATAAAAAATAAAATTACGAGCAGATCAATGTGCGAGAAAATTCACGCTCAAACAAAAAGAACATTTCGTGAAGAGGAACATTTAGTAAAGTTGGAAATAAAAAAATTTACACGAATTTATATTCTCGTTGAAAATATTACGTTTCATTATGCTAATCCGAGTAATTCTACGATAATATTTAAATATTATCGTATATAAGTATATATTATCGGATTATATATAAGTAGAAATTTAAGACACAATTATTCTAATTATTTTTCTTCTTTAAAATTTTTTAGCATAAATTTTCATATTTTGCTAATATTTTTTATATACTTTTACTCATATATAAAAGCAGTCTAAATGAATTGTAATTGTGTAATAGTGTGCAGTTAAATTGTAAAAATAATTTATGTGAAAATCTTATCACAGTTCTATTTCATCAGTTTAAATGTTCTTCTTCAAATATGTATATATAATAGGGTACAATAACGATGATTTTGTGAACATTTACAGGAAATCGACAAAATATTTCCAAGAGAAAGTAATAAATTACTTCCATATATATACATGTTCAAATTATCTCTTCAAACAGAGAAACAAACATTCATTTTCGTATTATTAAACATTATTTAATACACATATGACGAATATATAAACATTTTTGTCTAAAATCTAATTTTATATAAATGTTCACAAATCATGATCAATATATACAACACATTGCAAAAAAATCATGTACAAAACGACATATATGAGCAATAAAAAATTTATATATAATATTGTAGAATATTACGCGTGCTAAAAACAGAATAGGATTACTCCGATTGATAATACGCAGGTGATGCGCTCTCACTTGCTATTATATATTCTCGTTATTTCGATCTCTCGCGCTACCCCAATCCACGTGTCTTTAGTTTCCGCTTCGTGCCGGGCCGGGGACTTACGCGCGCGTGCATGCGTGCATACGTGCGTGTGTATGTGTATGGAGCGCGGGTGACGGAGAGAGGACATATGTACAATGTATTAAATATATATAAGAGTATGTGTTTATAATTACCTACAACGTATTCTCTCCACGTGGTTCTTTTTTCTTGTGGTAGCAACACATCATCACGTATAGTATATGTATACAACAATCCACACGTGTACAGCTCGGCCGTTTACTCTTGTGCGGCTGCTTCTTTTTTTTATCTGCCATTATAGTCGCTAAGTACTACCATCTATGTCGCGTGTGTGTGTGCAGGATTCGTGGGTGTTTTTTTTTTCTTACAACACGTCTCTATGTAAAGATACATACCATGTGACATAATGCGTGTATACACGCTTCTGGATCGAGGCCACCGACGTTGCGGCGGGCGATACTGATTGTGTGAATCGGAAACACGTTTCATTGCCACATCTTTTTCGTTCTTTCGCATCGTTGGCAATCCTCCTTTTCCGCCACATAGAGGATCACGAATGCAGAATGAAGGAACGAACGCTCGCATGTCGCGTTAATCACCCTGGTTGAATTGTTCCCGTAGAGTTTTTTCTTTCTCTCTTTATATCAAAAACCCCACCGCCACATACTCTTTAACTATAGATACCTGCCAATAATCATCCCACTGGTGGTAACTATAGTCACTGAGGATGTAACTAGCGATTGTCAGAATTGTCGCAACAATAATTCCATCTAATTTATCACCGATGGATCTACGGATAAATCCGGATGATTTGTTAAATTATTCTCCTTCCAGTAACCCATCGATAATCAAGGACACTTTCGGACATTTTCTCGAACCTCGTGGACAGATAGTAAACTATTCCTTCGCGAGATTATCGTAATAATTTGTTTAAATATAATTAGCGCACTCAGCTTTTTTCCGAAGCACTTTTTCAACCAGGGCACTCATCACCGATTACAGAACGTGGCATCACGATGATCCAGGGGACCATATTCACACTACGTGCCAAAGCAGAAGAGTTAATTATTCGTCAGCATGTTGTCGGCGTGCCTGCTCTAAAATTACTAGGGATCGAAGAAACGATGATCAAATGAGAGAACGACATATGTGTGTGTATGTGTGTATCACTACTTTGGATTACGCAAATCTGCGTGTAATACAAGCGGTAAAAACACTCGAAGTATCTTTCATGAGCGTTGCGTTTCAAGGAAACGCGTGCAACGCAAACCGAGAAGGATATCGTATAATAATAATACGTATATATATATATATGTATTATGTAAACATATCGTGTACATATACTAGTATACTCCGGGACTTTCTCGCGAGAGCGTTCAATGACGTGGAAAGCTATTTAATTCCTAAATCGCTTCGTAAAAGGGAAGATAAAGATTAGGGGTACGTAAAAGTCTAAACGAAGCTCGGTTGATTGTTCCGGGTGGCGACAGGTCACCCTCCCTTATCGTAATAATTTGTTTAAATATAATTAGCGCACTCAGCTTTTTTCCGAAGCACTTTTTCAACCAGGGCACTCATCACCGATTACAGAACGTGGCATCACGATGATCCAGGGGACCATATTCACACTACGTGCCAAAGCAGAAGAGTTAATTATTCGTCAGCATGTTGTCGGCGTGCCTGCTCTAAAATTACTAGGGATCGAAGAAACGATGATCAAATGAGAGAACGACATATGTGTGTGTATGTGTGTATCACTACTTTGGATTACGCAAATCTGCGTGTAATACAAGCGGTAAAAACACTCGAAGTATCTTTCATGAGCGTTGCGTTTCAAGGAAACGCGTGCAACGCAAACCGAGAGCGATATCGTATAATAATAATACGTATATATATATATGTATTATGTAAACATATCGTGTACATATACTAGTATACTCCGGGACTTTCTCGCGAGAGCGTTCAATGACGTGGAAAGCTATTTAATTCCTAAATCGCTTCGTAAAAGGGGAGATAAAGATTAGGGGTACGTAAAAGTCTAAACGAAGCTCGGTTGATTGTTCCGGATGGCGACAGGTCACCCCTTCCCCTCCCCTCTTCCCAATCGTCTTCTCCTTTTGACATAACTCCTTTATTTACCGTGTAATAATACGTTATCGTGCCTACAATTCATGTACTCGTCTAAAATTAGTCCGAAGGAGTGCGAGGTGTGTCCGTGTGTGTTTATATAATGCGCGTGAAATTCGCGAGGAAGTAAGTCTCTCCTCTTTGGTTTTCCAGCTAAGGTCAAAGGCGTATTCGCGATAATTACGCGCGTAATCTCCCGAGAGTGATCCAAAGACTTTCAAGTTTTCTACTGGCGCTACTTACGCTCGGAAACCATCGGCACTTATCCCTCAAAGCGGTATCGTAAAATCGGTGCGCCTTCTTTCGCAATTCTCGCATTTTCTGCGATTTTACGGCGTCGCACATCGCGGTTGACGCTCGATCGGATGGATCGAGTTTTTGGCTTCTCTCCCCGACACCTTGGATTTTGCAGCTCTACGGGGCGTGAAACGACCTCTCGTCACGATCCCGGGAAGTCAAGGAACTTGGGCGGCGGATCCGTTTATCCCTCCTCCGTCAGAGATCTTCTGGTACTTTTGGTATCTCCGTGCGAGTCTATCTTACTTCGATCTCCGAACTAATTTTTCGACGTTAGGATCGTCACGAATTCTAAAACACACGCACGATTCTGGTTGATAGGACGATGTTGAGAGTGGGATCGATCCCAGGATTATAAACAAAACAGCTTTGCATTAATATTTCACCAGATCTGTATAAAATTTATACTACTGCATGACAAAGAAAAGGAATAATTAGAGAGAATGTATTCCGATGCGAAGTATCAGGGGAGAAAACGTACTTATACTCTCTCAGAAAGTTACATATTTCTTTCAAGTATTGCGGAAAATTCAAATCTTCAAGTCTTTGCCAAAAGAAGATTAAAGAGAAGATCTTTGCCAAGAGAAGATTAGTGTATCCCCGTTATCGTTCAGAGAACAAATTCTAAATATTATATTACACGAAAGTACATTACCCTCGTAATTGACCATTCCAGATCCATCTAGATCCGCCTCCTTAATCATGTCGTCGACCTCCTCCTCGGACAGTTTCTCACCGAGATTCGTCATTACGTGTCGAAGTTCCTTGGAGGAGATTAATCCGTCGTTGTTCTTATCGAACACTCTGAAACAAAAAGAAATTTACGAAGTTGTGCTTAACATAAGTTACAGTTTGCACTTATCTATATTTTAAAAGCATAATTTTCCGACGAGAGACCCATCTCGAGACGTTCTTTCAATGCAATTGTCCATGCAATGCAATGACAATTAAGAAAGAGCTCGTTACCGGAACGCTTCGCGAAGTTCGTCCTCCCCGTCGGCACCTTTCATCTTCTTCGACATCATTTGCAGGAACTCATTAAATTCGATGGTACCGTTCCCGTCTTGATCCACCTCGTTCACCATGTCGCGTAGTTCCGTCTCTGAAAAGAAAGCGCACGTTTTAGAATTGTTCCGGGAATTTGCAAAATGCATCCGAGACACATTCGAGTATTTGAATGACTTACCCGACGGTCTTTGACCGAGAGATCGCATGACAACCCCTAATTCCGCCATCGTAATCGTACCGTCCTCATCTTTGTCGAAGAGCATGAATGCCTCTTTGAATTCTGAAATAACAGAACTTTCATCGTTATCGCGCCAATATCTCGTTATTATACTCGAGACAAATAGATAGCCATTGTTGATTGTAATTAAAGAAAATTTGCGGACGTTTTATTACGTATCGAGTAATTGCTAATTGCAAATTTTGATATCTTGAAAGCGTGCTTTATTTCTATTACTACATCCATTGTGTTTCTAATAATTATGTATTCTCTTTGAATGAGCTTGAATTTTCTTTGAACAGCTAATTTTGAATTAATTTCGAAAGTCTCAATCGCTATAATTCGTTTTGCATGCAGTCTTGTAGACGATAATAATTGTATATAATAAATAAAGAAGTTTTTTTACGCGCAAAAGGTTCTTCTTTTATAATTATTATCATAATTATTTTATAATTAAATAAACAAGCACAGTACGCGCGTCATGTATAATTACGAAAATGAATCAATCTGCGAAAAAAGTTTAGTATTTTTCTATCTCGCTTCTATTTAATCCATTGCCACATGGGACATGGGAAACCAGAAAAAAAATGCGAACGTTTGCAGAAAGTTAAATTGTGAAATAAATATCGATACCATAGCGTGTCACGATAATATCATTATTATGATATGTATGAGTCATTAAGTATTCATATTCCATGAGTTTATTCGTTTCGATCATTTTTCAGTAAAATGAATATTATTGGCTCTCTCGAGATCCTCGAGTTTATTATTATTCTATTTTCAAAATTGTTTTCGACAATTTTAATTTCATTGACTCGCCATTAATGTAGTAAGCAAATAGGAAAAACGATTGCCAACTGGCAGACGTTTATACTACAATCCATAATGATTATCTCTATGGCGTGTAATAATCTAAAAGTATTACTCTCTCTTTTTCATTAATAAAATAAATTTATAAATATTTTCTTATAACTTATAAAAAATATATTAATTTTCAAATCAATTATTAGATTATTACTATATATAAAATATCTTGTTAAAAATAAAAATTCGAGAAAATTGTATTAATCTTAAAATCGCAAGTTATGAATTATTATTGCAATTAATTCTTATAATCTATCTAATTATGATTAATGAATTAACTATATAATCGTGTCAACTCACCTGCTACCTGATCTTCCGTGAGCCCATACTCAGACTGAAACAGAGAAAAAGACAAACGGCTCTATTCATTTATACACATGTATATACATAATACAATTCCGTCTGCTCTGTAAGTTTACATATGTACGTATGTAAAGACGTCAAGCGGCGTTTAGAGAGCCTCGTCTCCTGTGGGCGAACGACCTTGCTCTATAACTATACGATCTGCTCTCTCGTACAAGATACACAGGGAAGATAAGGAAATTTTGGCGAGATGCCCGAAACGAGATGTTCGAAACGACGCGTGCGCGGCGGAAGGTCGTGTGTAATGAATTATTAATAATAACGTGTCGCAATGTGATAGCAAGTCTTGCGACGAAACGGCGCATACCAATGCATTCCATCCCATCGAGATGGCCTCGCGATTTCTGCAGATCGGCATTTTTCCTTTCTACACATCGCACGCATTTAAATCTGATTCCTTACCACCCAAAGAATTTTTTTTTTTTTTTTCCACTTAATTAATTTGACAATTTATCGTGCTGATCGAGATGACCTCCCAATTTCTGCACATCGAAATCTTTCCTTTTTACATATCGTGTATATTTAAATCTGATTTCTTATTATCTAAAGAAATTTATATTTTTTTTTCCACTTAATTAATTTGACAATTTTTTCCATTTAATTAATTTGACAATCTATCGTGCTGGTTGAGATGATCTCGCGATTTTTGCGAATTGAAATCTTCCCTTTCTACATCGCATACATTAAAATCTGATTCCTTACCATTCAAAGAAATTTATACTTTTTTCCACTTAATTAATTTGACTATTTTTTCCACTTAATTAATTTGACAATTTTTTTCACTTAATTAATTTGACAATTTATCGTGCTGGTCGAAATGACCTTGCAATTTCTGTAAATCGAAATCTTCCTTACACATCACACACATTTAAATCTGATTCCTTACTATCCAAAAAAATTTATATCTTTTTCCACTTAATTAATTTGACAATTTTTTCCACTTAATTAATTTGACAATCTATCGTGTTGGTCGAGATGGCTCGCGATCTCTGCAAATCGAAATCTTCTACACATCGCACACATTTAAATCTGATTCCTTACTATCCAAAGAAATTTATATTTTTTTCCACTTAATTAATTTAACAATTTTTTCCACTTAATTAATTTGACAATTTTTTCCACTTAATTAATTTGACAATTTATCGTGCTGGTCGAGATGGCCTCGCGATTTCTACAAATCGAAATCTACACATCGCACACATTTAAATCTGATTCTTTACTATCCAAAGAAATTTATATTTTTTTCCACTTACACTCAATTGCCTAATTTGACAATCTATCGTGCTGGTCAATCTACGCAGTTGTCCGTAGGCGTGCGTGTATTTCTTTTCTGTTTCCGCCATGATCTATTATTGTCACGTCGGACGACGTATGCCGGAAGGAGGACGGTGTTCGACGACGAGATATGTGGCGTGATATATTAACTTGAGATTTCGAGTCTCTGTGTCTGCGTCTTGTCGCGGTTATCGTCGTGTCGCCGTCGAGACGGCCAACATCTCGTTCCCATTACGAACGCGCGACATTTCTGTCGATCCGTAAAAAAGAAAGAAACGCCGCATTTTTATACGCTCTTTCTCTCTCTCTTTCGGGAAGGAAATCGACATATATATATTCGCGGCACGATGAATCCGTTGAAAACTACTCTCAGAGAGTCGAACTAATATTTATCCACTACGAGCTCCCACAAGGTCATTGCTGGTACCGAATAAGAAAGAGGAGGATACGTTCAGCTTCTTCCGCCGTCGCGATTACTTTTATTTAGATGGATAAAATCGAAGACGATATTTGGGAAAGACCAAGAGGGTCTTAAGATCGTCGTTTTTCCCCGGTAAAAAAAGACGTCGAAGATGCCGGATCAAGCGATCGCGCGCGCGAAATTCCACTGCGATTACACGAACGACACTATTCAAGAATGCAATATTGCCCGCGAATGACTAAAAATAGCCGACTTATAGAGTACGCTTCAAAGTATATATGATCTTCACGCTTCTCGTGAAGTATATAATCTTCGATCCCGAAGCGAAGCGTCGAGAGAACTCGAATTCTTCCTCGTCGCACACGTTACTTTACGCGCGAAGTTGAGGAAAAAGATGAAAAGCTGCTGGCGCAGCTTCCGAACACTCGGTATCGCGCGTCGGACACAAAAGACGTTCGCTCGATGACAAAGTCTCGTATATGTTCGAGACTTTGGCAACCTTAGTCTGTTTTTAACTACCAGGTCCCCCCTACGGACTATTGGACGCCAGGTGACCATTCCCTTCCACCGCTCTCGACATCGCATATAAACAGATACTTTGCTCGCGTTATGTTATGTTCGCGTGTTGGCGACGATAAAATTTTGAAAATTACCCACCATTCTCTATATTATCCCTTGATCGAAATATGTACTTTCAATTATATCAAATATACTTTTTTCACAATTCGAGCAATTTATTTCATATTTCGAAATTCATATTTATATTCTTCGCGTTTATTTAATACATGTTATATGTATAATATAATATATAGGTATATTCGAACATTATATAAATCAATTTGACAAAAGTAATGATTAAAAATAATAACAAAAAATATGAAAAAATTAATCAAAAATCGATAAAAAATTAGATATACGATATTATCTGAATATTTGCAAAATTTAACTTTCTCGTCGGCAAAATTATAATTATTATATACTATTAGAAAAGAGTATAATATACTTTGTGAATGGACATTAAATGCCAGACACATACGAGGCTGCCAAGAATCTCATCCAGAGATGTAATCCCAAAATAGAGCAATATGATCGAGCAACCGTCATTAATAACATCGAATTTAATTAGACACGATGGACTGTTTATTTTTCTTCAGCATATCTTGACTAACGCCGCGTACATTAGCCGAATAAGAAGATCCTATCGATCGCGCATCGCGTATTCAACTGGGTCAGATCAAATTTATTACTGATATACACGCATTACGCGAGGAGCACGCTAACTTGACAAAGACGATTCCTATCGCGATTCGATCGATAATTGCGTTCGCTTCCAAGAACAGAAATAATTAGACCTTTTCACGCAAATCTTCTAGGAAAATCATGTGAATGACCTTAGAATGCGGACAATTAACTAAAATTATCTATATGTATATAATTTTTTTTTCTCTTGTACTTGATAATGTTTCTATTTAGGCTGATTTAAATATCGACGAAATATCCAAGAAAATCCTTGATTTTATTTTTAATAATGAAACCTCCAACAAAGTTGGAGACAGTTTTTAGGGAACATCCCAAGAGAGGAGGGTTATTTATCAAATATGAAATAAACGGCGATGTGATGATCAAATTACAGATTAAAATCCCCTGACAAATGTACTGAGTTTAAGCAAAAAAAATAAAATTTCTTTATTTATTTATAAATTCGCAGAAGTTTAACTTATGAAAAAACTCCGTTTTTTAACCGATTATAATTTAAAAAAAAATTAATGTTTTATTCGAGCAAGAAATTATAAATCGATTAAAAAAAAAATTAATAAACTTTACGCAAAAAAAAAAAATCAGTTATTTTACCTTTATATGGTATCGATAAGAGCTAAGAATTGTAACGATTAGAGAACAGCTGGAAGAAACTCGCGTGGGAATGAGGATAAAACGTGATTCTGGATTAGAAGAGGCGTTTAAAAATATTGTGAAATAAAATTCTCTCGTTTCTCTCACCAGATTGATGGTAACGATGAGATCGTATTGTTGTCGCTGTCCCTTCTTTTTGTTCTTGCCGGTCTTTACGGAGGCCGCCTTGGGTGTCACTTTCACTTGGCCTTTCTGAGCTGACGGCTTCTGGGCCGGCTTCGCCGCGCCCTTAGTGCCTGGTGCGACCTTTTGTCCAGCCACTGGCGCCTTTTGACCGGAAGCACCTTTTTGGTTTACATGACCCACGCCATCCGCCGGTTTGTTGCGTGCCTACAGTCCAAGAGACAAGATCTCTATTAGCCGTTAATATACGGATGGATTTTATCGGAGATAATAAATTCCGAGATGGGGGTGTAAAATATTATCGCGTCTATGATGCATGATGTCGGAAAGTTTCCTTTTTTTTTATCTCTTTTTATTTGCTGCACTTATAAAATGTTGCTAATACAAACCGACAATTTATTGGCAACTGTAATATTTTTAAATGACAAGTTTTATTTTAAATTTACCATCAAAATTATTATCGAGTGTAATTTTCATATATATATTTTTTGAATGTTTCCAAAAATATATAATAATCGCGTATTAGCAATAAAACTCGATACACCTAAATATTTTACACATCATGTTTAATGCTGTAATTCACAGTCACGCAAATTATTATAATTTAATATTTTTAATTTAGATTATTCATAATCATCGCGTTGACTTGGCGGCACATGTTAAAATTGATTTAACATTTTTGCTAGCGTTACTTTTAGTCTGTTTATATCTCGTGGGTGGAGATTTATATACTGTGCTCGAAAAATATGAAAAAGATAGATTCTGTGAATAGAATCGCGTGTTTTAACGAGACGCGAAGAGTCCGTTGACCATCCTGTCAATAAGAAGAGAATTCATTTCAATCAAGACTCGAATCTTGCAGCTATCAATGTGTTTGATATTAGACGATCTAAAAATAACCTCTTCAATTAATAACTGAATGAAGATACTGCATGTGCATCGCGTGGGCGAATGCCGACGAGATAATTATAGATCTATCCGACGTGATCTTGACGGAGTCTATGACCTATGTATATGAATTACGTATCGCGCGAGAGTATAATTGAATTCGAGATGTGTGTTTCAAGCTTACAACAATTCTACGGAGCTTCTATCTTCACGTTCTATTGCAATAATCCTCGATACTTACGTTTTCGATACATCGTTTGTAGATCACCCGTATAGACGGCTTCCATTCTCATATATATATTTTTAACATATTTTAATATTTTAACATATAAATTCATGCTACGGGATTTTTGTTTGCTACAGTAAAAATTTTTGGAAGCAGATATTGCAAGATAGATTGAATTTATATTGATTTTTTCGTTTAAATTTATTTATTATAATCAATTCATAGCAACGTATTTATACTATACTATATATAGCGCATATATGCATAATTACCAAATGCATTCTCTAGTATATAAAGTATGGCAAGCCATCAAAACAGAATAAGCGATAACTGAAAAACGCTCATTCTATAATATATCTATAAATAGATATTTTCTCATTCATATGGACTAATTCTAGATTTATGATCTATACTATAATAATATAAATATATAAAAATAATCACATGATCAAAATAAATCGAATTATATAGGACTAATAGCGCATTCCTCATGAATAAAGCAATAATCTAATGCACCAATATATGTATAGCGATCGTGAAGCCAAGTATACCCTTGATAATGAGACATAAAGCCAGATTTAAATCCATAATAATAAAATAACAAATTGTACACATGTAAAAAAAAATGTTATTTCTCAATGTGGATTTCTGTGCCCGCCTCTTTAGAGTTTTATTAAGATTGTCTTTTTATTAGTTGATCCCAGTGATATGTATATTTTGTACCTTTGTTAATAAAGTTTAGATATATAAAAAATCCTAGTTTATATAATATTAGATGAAATATTTTTTTTAAATATATTTATATATAAGAAGGTCTTTATATAAAACGATGATCTTGGTAAGGATTAATCACTCGCATTTAATAAAAAAATGTGATGATAAAATATGATATATGCTTTAAAACTAATAATTTTAATAAAATTAATCTATTTTCTATACGAAGCAAGATTCGACGAGTAAAAACCAAACTGTCTCAATCAAAATCATCGTCCTAAAAATTGCGCAAAACTTCATATGAGCAATTTTTATACCACATGTTCCACTGTAATTTTTTTTTCACGTGAAATCATCGCCACGAGCAATTATGTTATGAGTATTATGTCATTTTGATGTTGCGATTATTTTTATTTGTCAATAATTAAGCGTACCAATAAGTGTTAAGGTAAAGCTCAGAGAATATCGCTATGAACGTTCCCTCTTCTCCCATATTTTGATGATAATCCGTATAATTCCAGGGTCGCGCAAGAGAATCATACGGAAACATGGAAAATGGTCGGTACATCGATCGGACCGGGCGTACGTTAAGCGCGATCGTTCGTTGCGCATGCGACGCTACGAACGGATCGATCGCACAACCGTGTATCAAAAGTATATCAAAACAAATGTGGAAGCCCCTCTATCATTTCATGGGACACTCGCGCGTTTATTGCACGCAATCAGGCGACGCTTTATCGAAAGAAAATCTGTAATAATGCAAATTATATCTTACGCACGTGGACAGACAGACACATACACACAAAATCGCAGGACTCGTATGTATATCACGCATTGTAATTCCTATGTATGTGAGTGTGTGTATGTGTATCGCACACATTTTTGACCATTTTTACATTTCAGGCGCAAGCGCGGTTTCCGGAAGATTCAGCTACGGTCGGATAAAAAAGTTCCATTAGAAATTAGCAAAATAATATATTTGTAAAATAAAAAATAAAAATCTTTACCTAAGAATTACTTTTTCTTACTGTATATAGTATATAAATGTCAATAATAATAATTCATTTGTATGTTAATTAAAATCCCATTTAAAATGTTTAGTTTATTTCACGATGAGAAAATGGATATTTCAAATATACATATTTCTCGTTAGAGACTTTGGGTATTCAAACAAAGCCATTATTTTTCTCATTATATGGGTAGCGGAATATTTGAAATTACCATTTCTATGAATTTTTATTTTCATTCTACACATTCTATAGACCTTATACCTCTCTTGCAATTAGATCTGTTCTTATGTTTTGTTGAATCACGTTATTTTTGTACATTAATATTAAATAAATGATCATTCTACCTTCGAAATAAAGGTGGACTTGTTTTGTAACTTTAAAAATTTTTTTCCTTACTACATAATTTGAAACAATATTTAAAATAATATTTGAAATGGTCAATGATATCGTAGAACTTCAAATATTATTCCAAATAAGAATTTTTGATAAGTCTTTTAAAATTATTATTTTAATTAATATTAAAATTATTGCTCTTTCAAATAGATATATTTCTTATGTACTTTTATCATGCTGGAAAATAAAATTTTTAAATGAAACTATTTTAATGGTCACAATAAAATCTTCATATAAAATATGACCACCTCTGATATCAAAATACACATTTCTCTCCGTGTTGTTTTAATTAAATAAATATTTTTAATAAAATTATGTAAACGTTTGTAATACATAAACGTTAACATAAGTTATCATTTTAATGAAATAACACATTTGTCGGACTGTTGTTTTCAAAGCCGAATATTAATGTGTGTAACTCCGAAAAGATAAACAGCACTTTAGTAAAGCGAAAGCGATATGTTTTTATTTGCTTGAATCTGACTTCTATGAGATTTATACGAACATAACATGATGTTTTTTTATAGTCAATGAAATTTATATAAACGTAATAAATGTTTTTCTATAGTCAAAATAACTTTGCGCTATCATATCTGTATTATTTAAATGTAATAGATACGTGGGGTGTATTAAAGATACGGTGTATCGCGAAGATGGTTAGTTTTAAAAGCAAATTGCTGTTTAAGACGAGCATTCGCAAACTTTCCAACTTAGAGTTTCTTTCGCATGGAAAATTACGTTTCATAATCCCCTTGTGTATAGCCACATGTGTTTGTGTGTATGGTACAACGTTCTTGAAATATATTTTCTTAATCGAAAACTCTCTTTAAAGGGGGACCAATATATCGCCGACAATTTGCGACAAGTGGCACTCGACCGTCTCTCGTACACGTTGCTGCATAAAAGCGTTGCTTATAAAGCTCGTTTCTCTTTTTTTTCCCTATTGCAGGGGTGTGCTCACAGTAGGTACGTCCCGGGGGAGAATTAATAACGATCGCTAATGGGCGCTTACGAAAGTTCCGCGGCAGCGGACGGGGTGTAGAGGAGGATGACTTACTTTCGTCCGGTCGATTAAATCGGATAGCGCGCGTGCATCGTGCCCATTTATCGTTTATGCTATGGGCGGCGCATAGTGTGCCGGTTACGTATGTGTGTTAAATTGCGACCGCGGAAATGCGGATTTAGGTCGCTAACTGCGGGAATTTTACATTACGGAATATCGCGACCAAGGGCCTCTGATTAAAGCCGACCGATGTCCTAAACAGACTTCCGGTACAGTGATTGCTTATCGTTAATCTAAATATACGCAAAGTTCTGCAACGTGTATAAATCGAAAATACAAAATGAGTTATGTGCCGGAAATGTAATGCTTGGAATAAATTGAGAAAGTAGTTATAAATTTGATGAAAAAATATATTAAGCGTCGTAAAGCGTTGTGGAAATAAAAGGCGGATAATTAATTAGTTTATTTGGATGGAAGAAACATGAAAATACGAAGTGTAAAAATTATTTCTGGCACCGCTTTGATCGTTTTGCATTTCCAATATATATATATATATATATACAGGGTGCGGCATTTATAGTGACGCGGGCATATTTTTTGGAAACGAAGTGAGATATCAAAGAATGTTTCAGACAAAAGTTGCATAGTTTCGACGGGGCCACATGATAAAAATATGGATTTGACTTTAAATGATCTTTTCAAAGTGAGGTCAATGTGGTCGATAGATATATATATATTGACAAAATATCGTCAATTTCATAATTAATTTATGTTTAGCATTTAAAATAAGTACGTTTTGAAACAAGATGTGCCATGTATTAATGCTGTTGATTGAATAATAAATAATAATTAATTTAAATCTTTATTAGATTGTACATCGTCAATTACTCATGTTAATAAGTTTCCAATATTATCGAAGTAATATTTTCAATAAATGTCAATCAGAATATAATTGTCTTTAAAATGCTACAAA